AGAGGTGCACGGAGGCTCGCAGAAGCGCAGGGACGAGTCCTTGGGACGTGGGCAGGGGCTGAGTGGCCACTGGATGCCTTAACCACAGCCTGACGCTTGAGAGGAAATTTTCACCTCTGCGCCAGTGTCCCAGGCTCTCAGAACCAGGCCGGCATCTTTCTCCCAAATGAGTCGGCCAGGGCGAGAAGGAAGCAGCAGCGTGTGGCTCCGTGCGGGTTGTACGTGCTGCCACCACACAGATGCTCTCTGAGACGGCAGGAAGGCAAAGTGCCATCCCCGCCTTTGGGCCAGTCAGTCTCCCTCCACTTGCCCTCAGTGTACAGTTTTCTAGAGAACCCAGGTCACCCGTGCTTGTCTGATGCTGGTACCACAGGCAGCAAAGAGCCACTGTGTGTTCTAGGTTCAGTATCTGTGACTCGGTTTTTACCCCGCACCCTGGGCCCTAAAACATTCGGTGGAGTTGTAGGAAGGAAACACGCTGATCTCACTCCAGCATTCTCAATCGCACTTCTAGTTCTGAATGCAAAATTTATACCACAGAAACCCAGGAGCTTCTTGTTTTTGAAATTACACACATGCAAACCCATAGCATACTCCTCCCGATTTCAATCGTAAAATAGCTCATAGGACTTCCGCATTTTCACTGGTGTTTCCAGAAATGCTGGCTCTCAGTAGGCAATTTATTTTCCTGTGGTTTTTTATCTCCACTCATCTCCTGTCTCGCTCCTTTCCACACCACCTCTCCTCTCACCAAACTTAGTCCCTTTCCCCCAGTTATGTACATAACCCAGCCAAAGTATGTGGCAAACATTCAAAATGTTTTGGTTTTTGTTTTTGTTTGTTTGTTTTTTTCTGGTACCAGGAATCGAACTCACGACCTCGCGCTTGCCAGGCAGGTGCTGTACCGCTGAGCTAAATCCCCAGCCCTCAAAATATTAAATGTATTAAATACATATAAACCCCAAAGAAGGATAAACATGAGTCATTTGTAGGAAAATGAATGCATATGGAGACCATAATGTTAACTGAAATGAATCAGACACACAAGCTTAAATATCACATGATTTCTCTTACTTGAGAAACCCAAAATATAAGCAAATTATACAGCAAAATAAACGACAGGGGGGCTGGGGATTTAGCTCAGCGGCAAAAGCGCCTGCCTGGCAAGCGCAAGGTCGTGAGTTCGGTTCCCGGTACCGGAGAAAAACCAAAAAAAATAAATAAATAAATACACGACAGGAACCTGGAATGGTATACGATATCATAAGATAGTTACCAACCACCTCCTTACCAATGCAGACAAGATAATACTCAGCAATAAATAATATTATACAAACAGTATGATATGTGGTATGATTTGCTAAACACAGTAAGTACTAAGGCACTGAGGAATACCAAGGTCATCACACTAGAAAACACCTATGCGTGCCTGGCAGGAATGATTAAAGAGACACTTCCTTCCCTGAAGGCCCGAATTAAAGAGACACTTCCTTCCCGAATGCATGCACAGCACCCTGCAGGAAATTCACCACCTGTCCCACCTGACAGCCCAGCTCATAATACAGCAAACACCAAAGGAGCTTCCCTGGTGTGCAAAGTTAGAGAAGTAAATAACCCAGAAACCCTGACAGTAGTTTCCCCCCTAGTGAAAAAGTGCAGTACTTAGGAAATAAAGAACATGGTTTCAGTATAATTGGTAATTTCACTTCTAATAATCTAGCAAATGTCAAGCAAAACAGTCATTATTTTAGTGGTGAGAGCACAACATAAAATGATTAAAATGATAGTTTAAAATGATAAAAATGCCCTTTTGTTCTTTTACTTTGGGTTTTGTGTTTTGGTTTTTTTTGTTTGGTTGGTTTTTTCTTTGTTTGTTGAGACAGGGTCTCTGTGCAGTTCAGGCTAGCGTTGAATTCACTGTGTAACCCAGGCTGGCCTTGAACTCACAGCTATCCTCCTGCCTCTGCCTCCTGAGTGGTGGGATTACAGGCGTCAACCACCATTTCCAGCTTACTTTTTCTTAAGAGAGTCAAGGTTTTTTGACTATTTTTCTACGAGGTCATAGTATATAGTTCTTTAGGTATAGATTTTAACCATTATCAACTTCTACTGTAACCTTAGCTGTTCTTGTCTGATTTGTATTTGTTTTCTTGTTATTTTGATTCACAAGTGCTGTTTGTATAAACACCATCTCTGATGAGTGACTAATGAGGGGGGAAGACCAAAACTAGCCGTTACTGATTGCTCGCCCTGGCCAGGCCTGTCTGCAAGCGCTGTCACGTTTCATCCAATCAGCACTGCCAGAAGGAAAGACTTAATACCCGCTTTAACATCCTTAAAGCGGCTTTGAGACTTACCCGGAATCACAAAGCTAAGCAGATTGCAGGGTCTAGACTTGAGTGCAAATTTTTTTACCCTACATGTTTGCACTAAGCTGAAACTGCTCCTATCTGTCTGTCATTAACCCCTGTACCTGAAGGAGTCTGGGCAGGAGACCCGGATTTCCCTCCAGGGCTGCTCAGGCCCCAGTAACCACCAAGAAAATGGGAACTTCCGGGACGCCCTCAACTCTCGCCCGGCCTCTGTCTAGTACAGGTGCGCAGTCACTAGGGGAAAGACGGCTTCCTGATGGGGTGGCTCCCTCACATTTAAGTAGAATCGAGAACAGGACTCCAGAGGTAGAATGATACCCTCATCATCTAGTGCAGGGCCCTTGTTTATATCTGACACCTGGGAAAATTAAAGGGAAGTAAGAGAAAGGAGAATAAGACCTCACATTTCTTACCTTCAAGTAGAGAACTCTTTCCACTAAATCACACTGTGGAAGGCCAGGATTTTTCCAAAAACCACTTTTCATATATTTGTTCATATCCAAGAAGTACTTACAGATGATTCAAAAATACTCCTGATGATGCTTCCCTCCTACTGAGGGGAGGGTGGGGTGAACTGCAGAGCGCATTGTAAAGTTAGATCCACGTGGGTCTGTCCAGACCAGGGCTTCTGACAGGGCCTGGCCAATACCGGGAGCCCGTTAATGCAATGAACGGTGCTCTCAGTGGGCTTCTCAGATGGCACCTCGCAACTGCCGTAGGGATCTCTGGCCCGGAGAACTGCAAGCACTTTGCTTACTGTGCAGACCGTCACCCACTTCTGGTGTGTCTGCCTTTCATTCACTCACATTTTGATGTAAAGTTAAATTAACATTTCATGAGTATATATTTGATCATTTGGATCTAAATATTTCAATAATATATGACTAAACTGCCTGACAATAAACAATATTTTTTACACGTTGAGAAGAATTTATGTAAACTTCCATCTTTCATGTTCTCTCAAGCTCACAGATTACATTTGTTCTTTCCTGTGGCACAATCCATTTCTTTATAACTAATTCTGAGTGTAAGAAGCGTATTCCAAAGTAGACTAATAATACCAATTATAATGTTTCCTGTTACAAGGTTGAGCTTACTTGAACCTTTAAACTTGAAGCTTTTTTCTGGCGCAGTGATGGTCTAGGCTTTGTCTCAATTGTAAGCGCGCAGTTCTCACTAATGAGTCTGTCTTCATGAGAAAAAGATTTTGCACGACTTTTTCCTCATCGTAGCAGAACAAAAAGAATCAGCTGTATCCATTCTAGTTTCCCCCAGAACATTTCCAAACAGGACTTGATTTATCTATACACGTCCTATTTCTCCCTCTTCCTGGTCTTGAACATATATAAAAAGCTAGTTTAAGCCAATTAAGTAAAACTGCTTTAGAACTCTCTGGCATCAATTTCCCGCTTCCTCAGCTCTGTGGTTTGAAGAAAGCACAGGCTACTCTTTGCTTTTTTCCCTTCCCAGAACCTGCACTTGAAAAGACACATTTTCCGCACAGCTGTCCAGTGGTCTACTTATGCTGACCCCAGGTGGGAGAGTGGGGTGTGCAGCCAGGCTTTCTGGCCTTGAATCTCAGCTCACCTTCCTAGTTCTGTGAACCTGGGCAAGTTGCCTGGCCGCCTCGTCTGGACAGGGAGGGTGATGACAGGGTTGTTGCCAGGATTAAGGAATGGGTATAGGCAAGGTCTGTGCTGATGCAGGTACACATTAAAGCCCCACTTCCCTATGGAAGTAGACATCGCCCATCTTGCACTGTGCACTTGTACTATTCCATGAGGCTCGCAAGTGGAGCACAACTGAGCAAACACGGTCCAGGCCCTCAGAGAGCTCCTAACCCACCAGCTACAGCAGCTGAAACAAAAATGAGAAAGCTTGTAAACTGGAATAAAATGACTGCTACATAAAAGGAAAGATTTATCATGCAGATGTTCAAACGCAAAAGGTGATTAGTTTGAGGGCTCATGAAAATCTTCATGGAAAAAGGGTTGACAGCCGTGGGGCTTGAGGAGTAAGATTGTAATCCTGACCAGCAGTGCTGAAGGACTAAAAATCTGACCAGTAAAAACCCCGTCAAAGATTGTTCCATTAAACTGAAACGTCAGGTGTGTGAGAGAAGAGTGGTGGCAGAGACTGGAGGACACCTTGGCTCAGGTTGCAGGGCCTGGACAGGCAGGGGTTAAGAAACAGCATACGAGGAGGCCGTCTTGTGGGATGAAACCCTCCCGAAGTGTCCATCAGCAGTCCAGCGTGCTACACGTACTGGGGGAAAGGAAGACACTGCTACAAACAATGCGACCAAAGCCTGATGTGTTATCGCACTTGTCTGAATTTATATAAATCATTATATTCAAAATTCTCCAAATCATGACTTTTTCATCATAATTTTAAACAAAATTATGTGTGTTAAACATTTTTTAAAGGGACTATAAATCTTCTAAAATCTTCTCCAATGTGATCATTCTTAGGGGTTATGTTTTCCTTTTTTTGTGAAATGGGGAAAATTCCTAACGGCAGATGACGCCCCAGGACACGTCTAGTGGAGCACACTGTGTGTGCAGGGAGTGGCCTCAGCAGCACACACTACGGCCCTGTCACATTGCCCTTCTCCCCGCTGTCTTGCAGGAGAGGCACGCTGCGGAGGTGCGCAGGAACAAGGAACTCCAGGTCGAACTGTCCGGCTGAAGCGACGGAGGGTATGGCACGCCCCACCAATAGTAAATCCCCCTGCCTATATTATAATGGGTCATGCGATATCAGTATGGGAAATGTATGACATGGTTTAAAAAGAACTCATTATAAAAAACAAAAAACAGAATCAAAAATTTAAAAAATCAATGCGGTCTCTTTGCAGAATGTTTTGCTTGATGTTTAAAAAATACCTTGGATCTTATTTTGTAAATACTTACATTTTTGTTAAAAAATTCAAGTATTGCATTATGCAAGTTATTTCATAATCTTACATGTCCTGTAACAGGCTTTTGATGTTGTGTCTTTCCACTCAAATGAATTTGCGAGGTCTGTTCTTTTCGAAGCTCCCCATGTCTAACTCCATTCCCTTCCCTCTTCATCCCAACAGAAGATGAGGTCAGTAGACAGTTTATGGTGCTAGAAACCCACCATTGCCTAATGACCTAGGGGACCTTGTAATCTCCGAGCTTGACTGAGACCATACCTACATCACAGGTATTACGACTCCATGCGAACCTCCACATTTGTTGGCTCATAATCTACTTACTGCCTAGAAACTAGAAAACCAGTCTGAGACAAACACCCAAGGATAGCAATTACTTCTGCTTTTACTGGATTATGTGCTACAAATGTGCTTTGGCTTTAGAAAGGGATGGATGAGAAGACAGATCTGAGATCAATCTGGGTAGAAGCAAAAAGTTGAACCTTTTGAAGCGCTGCACACAGATCCGTATCCCGGTGGTTCAAGCAGCCGTGACACTGCTCTTCATACAGTGGGCTTTCTCCTCTAGTTTCAGTTCTTTCGCCGGAATGAATTAGTTGACGTGTCAGGTGGCTTATTCGTGGATGCCATGATTGATGATGTTCCTTTTACGCTTTTCCTTATAGTATGAGTACATGATGCTACTGAATATTTTTCCACTTGGAAACTGTGAGCTGGTTGTTGCATTAACACACAAACACACACAAAAGCAAAAACACTGCGGACTTTCACTCAAGCTGGTCTTTCTTCCCAGTGTGAGGCAATCCTGCCTGTTAAGAAAAAAACAATCGCTCCATCTGTGAAGCTGATGCAGTTAGGGGGGGGCTAAGCAGGGCATTTGTGCCAACTAAGAGAATCACCAGATACCCACCGTAAGTACCTGTCGCAGTTTTGAAGTTGTTTCTCCCCAGACTCCCAACTCCCACCCCCCGAAGGTTGCTGCCTGCATATTTACTCCTCATTAGTGCTATTTTCCTGTATGTCATTGTGAGCAAGCTGTGATTAATAAAGAATCGGAGTTCTGTGAACTAATAAAGGTGTGGTCTGTTCTCTTGCCCCTTCCGTTCTGATCTTGGGGTTCAGTGGTTGAAAGAGGGGCTGTTGATTGAACAGTCACACCAGCAAAGAGACAAGAATGGGTTGGGGGGCCGCCAGCGCCCTGCTGATTCACTTCTCGCCGGGAGCAGCAGGTGGCTCCTCCTCCTCCCTCTCCCGGACAGCCCGACACAATGGGAGAGGTCTTCAGCCCGTTCCCCTTACGGACACGCAGGAAGGAAGGACAGCCCAAAGGGTCATCCCCGTGATGCGGGGGGAGGGGCTCCTAAGGCACTGGAAGGTTCCTGGCACCATCTCAGCTTCTCTCAGGACACCCACAGGACATCTCCCCCGGCCTAGGCCATCTGTTGAGATGTGGTTTCCAGCCAAACTGTCCAAGTTGCTACTGCCAATAAACAGACTGCACACAGGGTCACAGCAGGGTCCTTCACAGGACCAAAGGCACAGCATCCATTTTTAGCAGAAAATCACAGGTCACTGAAACCATGCAGATTTATGAATAAATACACGGGAATATCTTCCACAGGAATACTAACAGGCCAAGCCGAGTGTGGGGTTGAGGCCACCTGGCCCCTATATTGAATATCCTGTAATGTTTGTGGGAAGCTGACACACTGCAACAAATGATACACACGCTAAAATATCTTATCAGCATGAAACAAGCTGTATTTTTCACACTGGTGTTACGTAGCTTAGTTTTGAAAGCAGTAAAACAATTTTCATGATCCTGTGAAAAGCTCTGGGAACACGAACACAGATTATCACAAACTCACAGTCGAATAGCTTATTTTGTCCCCCAAACAGCGAAACAAAATTTATTGGTCAGTCCATGCAGCATATGGAGAGAAAATGTAATTTCTATGAATCTTTCTGAAATACTAAAAATAGTTGACAAATATCTAACACTACTGTGTGAGTCCCTAAACTGGAATTGTTGACCAGTCCAACTACCTAATCTTAAAGGTTAAAAAAAAAAAAAACTAAAACAGACCAGGCACGGTGACACACACCTACAACCCCAGTACTTGATAGGTGAGGCAAGAGGATCCCTGTGAGATTTCAGCCAGCCTGGGTAACACAGTGAGAAGTGAGTTAATTGCTCTACACGAAAATACCCACTTCTCCCAATTTCCCTCCGTACTAACAACATCAGATGATCCTCAGATCTCACCCCTCTGTTGAGGACAGGTTATGTCATGAAGCTGTCCTAGACCAGAGGGCTTTAAATTTTAGCATGCTTCAGAGCTGTCAGGAGGACTTACTAACACAGACTGCTGGGCCGCTTCCAGAATTTCTGGTTTCTGAGCTCTGTGCCTGAGGCTGAAAATGTACATTTTGAACACATTCCCCCTACTACGTCTGCGGCCCTCGCTTGAGAATCTGCCCAATAACAATGACCTGATCCAGGTGGGTGCTGCCATCCTGCAGGTATAAATTCCAGGCAGGGCAGGTTTCAAGGGTGGCAGGGCATGAGAAGAATCTCATTTCACCTCATTCGAAGAGCTGGGAGTGAAACACAAACGGAAAAAAAGGAAAATGGACAGCTACACCTGGCAAGGTAGAAAATAAGGAAAGGACAGCGCGCACGGGGCCAGAACATGCTGAGGAACGGGTGAGGGCAGAGAAGCCGTCACTTGGCGCCTCTCCACAGCTCGCCACGGAAGTCCCCGACGCGGGAGCGGTCCCGGGGGTACGGTGAGACGCGCTTTGTCGGATTGCGCACGGTCTGACTTGGGAACCACTAGCGGCCCTTCCCACGGTGCCAGTTATGGGGCCTGGACTGAGGCCCCAGTCTCCGGCAAGCGTTGGGGCGCGTGGCGGGAAGAAGGAGCGAGGGATGAAGCGGAGGCGCAGGCGGGGTCGGGAGGAGCAGCTGTTCTCGGGGACCGCAAGGCCACGAGAACCAGGGTATCATTCACCACAGCGAGTCGAGGTCGACGGCGGGAGGGCAGCGGGTGTTTCCGGGACGGTGACGGTGGCTGTGGTGCGCTGGTGGGCTAGGAAGAAGAAACCGTCCTTGCAAGGTCAAGGACAAGGACGGGAGGAGGGAGGAGGAAACCGCAGTTTCCCCGGGTACCTGTGTCCCCCGCAGGCCTTACCGCGCCCTGTGAGCCGTCAGTAGCCCGGGGCCTCCGGCTGTGAGTAGAAGGGGCAGAGTTTCCGCCTTCCGGTCTGGCTCGCGGGCAGGACGAGCACAAGCTCTGGGCACGGCCTAGACTCGATTTATAATCTGTAGTCCCCAAGAGGGATGTTCTCCCGCAATAGAACTTGTTTGTTTGTTTTTTAATTTATTTTAAAAATAAAAGAACAAAAACATTAACAAACAGACATCCATTTACAAAATAGCATAAGGGCAATACAAGCAATACTGAATTATAGACAAAGTGGTAGGAAATTAACAGTGGTTGTTGTATTACGTGTTGATATCTTCAAAGTGGTTTCTCAGGAAAACAAATAGAGACATGCAAAATTGACCAAATAAGTAATCATTAACTTTCCTTTCAGTAAAGCGATAGAAGTCAGTGGTACAGCTATGTTAGCTATCCTGTATATACATACCTACATAATTTCCCCTTCTTTTTCTCTTTTCCCTCATCCTAGTTGCTCTTTACTTTTGAGCAGTTTCTTTTCCCTTCACAATGTCTATCATACCTCATAATTTTTATTCACTCTTTCAAGCAACCCAAATGTCCATCCACTGAGGAATGGATTAAAAAATTGTGGTATTTTTATATAATGGAATATTACTCAACTATAAAGAAAGATAAACTCGAGGATTTTACAGGTAAATGGTCACAACTACAGACCATACTCATAAGTGAAATAAACCAGACCTGCATGTATAAGCAACATATTGTCTCACTAGTGTAAGAACCTGACAGAACTTGTTTGTAAACTGGTGACCTAGCGTCACCACTTTAGGAGGGTTTAAAACATCTGAAGGAACTCCCAGCCCCCTCAGAAATAAACTGAGAGCTCTTTGCAGGGAGGAATTATCCAGTTCGTAGCTTAGTTCCACTTACAGATTTTTAAAACAGTTTTGGCTTGCTCTGTGCTCTGTTTAAATTGTGAAAATGCCTTAGAAATGTTCTGTAAAAATTCATAAAATCCCATTCATATGATTCACCATATTTCCTACCCCTTCTCGATCCAACAATGTATGACAAGTGAACACTGACAAATGCTGCTCCCTTATTTGGGGAGGCCCCTGGTGTGCTAGCTTTCTGTTACTATAACAAATATCTGCTGCAAACAACTCATAAAGAGAAAGGGTTGGCCTGAGGACGTGTCCCAGTGACCTGAAGACCTCCCACCAGGCCCTGCCTCTTGAAGTTTTTACCACCTCCCAATAGCACCACAGGCTGGGGAGCAAGTCTTCAACAGGGGCCCCCAGGGACCCTTCACATCAACCACAGCACCGGCTCTGGGTTCTACACCCGCTTTCACAGTATTTCAGAGAGGAAGAAATGAATCGATCACCACCCACCCACCTCCAACTGCGAGAGAGAATGAGAAGGGAGTCGCTCTCATGAGCCCCAGAGGACACAGTCACCCTGGACTTCTCATCAGGCCATGCACGAAGGCAAACACGAGCCCAAAGAAAGCTAAGGCTCCCGAGCGCCCCAAATACCTCAGTCTTACCTTGCATTTCCCGCCATTCCCCACCTCTCATCTTCAGCAGATCTGCAAGTAAAGCAATCTGACCTCCACACTGGCCCTCATCCATTGCCTTTTCTAATTCCATAAATGCTGCCTCCTTTGAGACCATTTCGACCCATAACAGCCACCTAGTAAGACTTCCTCTGGACCGAACCCTTCAGCACACGCTGGTCAAACCTCCCCACTATTTTATCACCCCTCCCCTCCACATGCAGCACAGAATCCGCACTCCTCTGCATGGCACCAAAGGGCCCCGCGCCTCTCTCTCCCTGACACTGAACCGTCCACCCCCGCACAGGAGCGATGTGGCGTTTCAGGCCCCTGTGCACATGCTGCGCTCTCTGCAGAGAACTGTCACCGCTGTATTATTCACTACAGTTTTAGTCAGGAGAGGCTGATTAGGTTGGCTCATTTTTAAATTTTTGACAATGTTTTTAACTCTACAAATTAAAACCCAAAGTTTTTGTGTGCTAGTCCTGCTACATGTTCAACATGGGTCACTGTGGTCTTTTCTCTGGGTCATTTCCCTCTCTGGAGCCAAAGAGCACTGGAGCTGCCTGTCTCTGGAGCACTGCTGGTCGCTCTAGAGGAAGGAGAGTGTGAGTGTGGTGGATCACACCCTGCCTCTCTCATGCTTCTGCGCAGGGCTAGCACACATGCTATTTTATTGGCTAATGCAAGTGATATGATTCCACTTGACCCCAAATAGGCAGAGGTACAATCTAACCGGAAACTCGGGAAGAAACCCAGAAATGTTTCATGGGCTGCACCGATAACTACCACCCGCTAGTCACCAAATATTCAGCTCTCCTCCCCACATGAAGTGCATTCACACAGCCTTCGAGGTATAAGACCAGCAAGTCCCACCCGGCTGTGGCATTGAGCACAATGTTCAGACCTCCGGATGCTGCACAGTCTGCAGTTTCTCTCTCCTCTCTCCCTCTCACCTAGACATGGGTCCTATTTACCAGAGGCAAATAAGTGAAAATAATTTCAGAACACAAGTCATCTTCCCTGCACAGTCCGTGGTGAGATGGGGTAGGACAATCACAACAACCATGCTTACTGTAAAGAAGAAGAATGGGAGATACACAGGACCCAGTTACCACAGAAATTCTGGCATCGTCCTACTGCCCAGATATCATGAGCGTCTCTACCGCTGGGATCAGAAACATTCCTTGCAGTTAGGAAGGAGCTCTCTCCTGCTACTAGGAAGGAGCTTCCCTATCCCTTGTTCTCTGTGGCTCTCAACCCTGTCCTCCAAGCAGATTTTCCTGTCCTCTCAAGCTCCCCTGCCACATCTACAGGGCGCCCCT